ACAGACAATCTCCTTTCCCATAGGGGAAAATTGAGGTCCAAAGAGGTGAAGTATAGGGGATACTGCTTGATAGTGGCAGAATCCAGTGGACTGCAGATCTCCTAACTCACGCTGAGGTTCTACCCACGGTATGGCCCATAAATGTAATGTATCCCCAACCGCCCCCCCTCAAAAAGAAATTACAAGATCACTCTTCCCACTCCAGCCTCCACCTTTGAATCTAGCTATTGAGCTATCCCTTTCCAAATTGGGAAGAAGTTTTTCAGGTTCACAGGCAAATGGAAGATAGAGCAGATAGGAGACTAGAAGGCTTTGATCAACCCAAGACAGACCTGATTTTTTTTTCCCAAAGTAACTTCAGGGAAATGTGTGGGGACAGACTTTGTAAGTATAGAAGGAACATTATTGTCATTAGTTTTTGTTAACCTGTAAGTAGCTGGTACAAATGAATTCCCTGGCAGTGAAAAGTAGTGGGAAGAGAAGGGAGTCCCAAGTTAAGAGTTAGAAGTTTTGTTGTGACCATAGCTCTGCCGTCATATTGCTGCGTGACTAAGACAAGACCTGCCCTCGGTTTCCTGGGCTTGGTTCCTCACCTGTAAAATGCAGATATTTAAGCATGTTTTCTCTAGATCATTTTCCAGCCCTGAAATGACACAGTTTCATCCTGAGTATTTAAACCTGCAAGAGAAAGAATATTTTAATTTTCAGGATGGCAGTATAACCTAGTGGCTAAGAGTTGTGGTTGGGCCCCAGCAACATACTACCTAATTTTGAATCCTTGCTCCATCACCTTCTATTAGTGTGCCCTCGGGCGAATTTCTTTATTTCTCTGAGTTTCAAACGACTCACCTGGAGAGGGGGCATAGTACATGCCCTAGAGGGTTGTTGTGCACATAAAATAAGATAATCCCTTGTCCATCATTTGGAAAAGCACCTAGAACTGCGCTATCCAATATGGTGACCACTAGACACATGTGGCTGGCTAATGAATACTCGAAATGTGGCTAGTGTGACTGAGGGATTGAATTTTTAATTTAAATTATTTTAAAATTTAAATAAAACTGAAACAGTGTAAAATACAGAACTTGTGAGAGCCAGAACTTGGTGGGACTGCTGTGTTTTTCCAGGTCTCGTAAGTTTTCTGCCTTTGACAGGGTGCAGTCTTACCACTTTTCTGTTGCTCGTTTTAGTGGAAAATATTTAGTTTTCCTTCTCTGACAGTTTTCTGCCTTACACAGATCCTGGCTTTTGCAGGTTTTACTGTATTTTTTTGTTAAACACAACTTTATTGTTTTAGTAAGACTAACCGTTGCATCATGTAAGACAGAGGTCAAGATGTTTTTCTATGAAGGGTCAGATAGTAAATATTTTAGGCTTTGTCGGCCATGTTGTCTCTGTCACAACTATTCATTTCTGCTGTTGTGGCATGAAAGTAGCTGTGGACAATATGAAAAGAAATGGGTGTGTCTGTATTCCAATAAAATTTTATTTATAGACACTGAAATTTGAATTTCACATAATTCTTGTGTGTCACAAAATATTATTTTTCTTTAAACATTAAAAAATGTAAAAACCATTTTTAACTCATAGGCTTTACAGAAATAGGCAGCAGGCTGGACTTGGTTCATAGGTATGTACCCAAGTTAAAGGAATTCATGTCTGTCATTTATAAGAATGTTCATAGCAGCTTTATTCATAATGGCCCCAAACCCAAATGTTCATCACAGGAGAATGTATAAAAATATTTTAATGTGTTTATATTATATAAAGTGAATCACTTCATATCAGTGCAAAAGATGAACCACGTCTACACATAGTGTGCTAGACACAGTGTTAAGTGAAAGATGCTAGTCACAAGGATAAATTCTGTATGATTCCATTTACATGAAGCTCTATAATGGCAAAGCTTAATCTGTGGGTTTAGAAATTAGAATAGTGGTTGCCAGATGGGGCAAGGGGAGGGGATTAACCAGAAAGGGGCATGAAGGAAAATTCTGTATGATGGAAATGTTATATCTTCATTCGGGTGTTGGTTACATGGGTATATCCATTGTCAGAACTCCTCAAAATGGTACACTTAGAGCTATGTAAGTTATCCCTCCATACAAAATACCCTTTACATAATAAAAAAAATTAGCTGCTGACATTTAACATGATAATATTTCTTAGTAAACTCCAGGTTTCTGGCCACAGTAGTCCACCTTCCCTCATGGTAACCAACAACTGGAGCCCGCTGTTCCAGTATGGTAGGCAGTGGGTGAATGTGGCTAGCAGCACTTAAAATGTGAGGAGTCCAAATCGAGATGTATAGGAAGGGCGAAATGCGCACTGGACTTTGTAATGGATTGAGGACATTGAAGTATTTCTTATATCCACATCTCTATCAAACATGAAAACACAAAGATTTTACCTTTCTTTTTTGAGCCCACATGTTTACAAAGGAGAGGCATACTTTCCTTTGTGCCAGCGAAGAATGGTCATTTATAGTTAATATACAAAGCATTTCTGTGTTCAAAGACTACAACCAAAGATGCATTATGAAACAAGTTGTTGCCCTGGATGGCTGCACTCATTATCTCCTTGGCCCTTATAACCATTTCATCTGAACTTTTAATTTGTCTTTTCTGTGTTAATTTAATTTAATTTGGGAGACAAGATTCTAACCAGCTACCACAAAGAGACCTTGTCGTGTGATTATTTGATGCACATCACTGCATAATAGATACTTTATTGATTAATTTTCTAATGAAGTCTTACTATCAAAGTTGGTTTGTATAACCAGGAAAACCATTCAGACTGCAAATTTAAAAGCTTGAGTTTTGCCTTTTTAAAAGCCTGCAGCAGTTTAAGGAATGCAGCCCCTTCATTAAAGCGCAATGATAGGAATATTATTATGAAGGCTTACAATTCTATTAAGTGAGAGTTGCTTGAAACCACATGGCCAAAGAAAGTATGAGGGAATTCAGCTGGATTTTGACTTTTGCTGTTTGGTGGCTGCCTAGGGGAGAGAGGTTCATTCTCAGGTGAACAGGGAGTGTTCTGGAGAAATGCCCTAGTCAGGGATGGAGAATGTGTGAAGTGACAGTTAGGCCCTCGGAGAATAATAGCCATTTATAATACCATGACTGTACTCCATTGCAAGGAGCCCTGGTGGCGCAGTGGTTAAGCACTTGGCTGCTAACCGAAAGGTCGGCAGTTTGAATGTACCAGCTGCTCTGCAGGAGAAAGATGTGGCAGTCTGCTTTTGTAAAGATTTACAGCCTTGGAAACCCTATGGGGGCAGTTCTACTCAGTCCTACAGAGTCGATATAAGTCGGAATTGATTCGACAGCAATGGGATGGGTACTCCATTCCTCCCTGGAGGTATCCTTTGACCACAAGTAAAACACTGGTCAAGCAGTTACTTCTTTTCCCCCTCAAGAACTGCTTGGAAGGACAGTCATCCTCTAGTGGACAGAGCAGGGTGCAGACTATTTTATGTGATCTCGTTCCATCTCTTTAGATCCTTTTTGCAGACTGAATGGAAACAAATACTTTTCTGAGAACAGAACCCATAACATTAGCTTAGATGTAATTTAACAAGAATCCAGATTTTCTTTTGACTTTTTTCTTTTGAAGTCCATTCCTGCCTTGAATGTTGGAGAGCTGCCTGAGGTTGGGAAACATTGAAATATTAAAAATGGTGGCCATCTTCTCTTTAGAAGAGAGTCTTGGTTTTAATTTTCCAGCGTGGTTACTCTATTTATGTCTCTTGGGCCCTTGGCTGATTGATCACGCAGGGATTTGTCATATTGCCTGCTCCTTTGAATCAAATGTGAACATAGCAACTAACAATAAACATGATGTGGCTATTAGAGAACCAGGGGCCTTCTTTGCCTGGGGAGCTGGGAGACTTGCTTGCTGTTGCTAAGATGTTTTCTGGTGTTAGCACAGCATCAATCATTGGCAGTGCAGCTGTGTTTTTGGAATAGTGAGCTGATGGAAGCGCAAAGGCGCACTGATGAGTATTATCCTGAACAGTGGGTATAGATGCAGATCATTATGCATAATCCATAATGTTATCCCCATTTGTGCAGTTCTTTGTACCGTGTGATTGGGTGTGATTTGCTGTGCCGAGAACCAGAGGTGTGCCAAAGCATCATTTCCATTTTCAGAATAATTTTGTTGGAAACCTGAAAGATAAGTAAATATACCAGACCATTGCATTTCAACACTTTGTAGCCTTTTGAGTGTGGCTCATGGTTTTGACAGTAAAATCTGGCTGAAAGTTGGACCAGCTGCTCTAACTTGATATCATTTTCCTTATCCATTATGAAAAGACCACTGGAGATGAAGTGTGAACATTTTTTAAAGAATTAATGTAGGATGAGAAACTGGGCTACCCAGTACATTTGCTCTGGCAGCTGTGGGCTTTTCTGTAGGGCACTGGGTAATGGTTGAGAGTGTGGAGCCACATTGCCTGGGTTCAAACCCCGGCTCTGCCACAGACTAGCTGTGCAATCTTGGGCAAGTTACTTAGCTCCTTTGTGTCTGTTTATAGCTGTAAAAGGTGAACAATGATGGTCTTATAGAGTTGTTGTGAGGATTAAATGAATTAATATTTGCAAATCCTTAATACAGTGCCTGGCATATAATAAGCACTATGTAAGGTTTACCTACTGCCATTTGTCACTTCTTATTGTATTTATGCAGTGCCACACTCTTTTCCATGGTGCTGGACTGAAGGATGAAGTAGGTGATCAGCCCCACGCCTGAATTTGTTCTGCGAAGATTCAGCAGCATTTAAGAATGTTGAGCAAGAATACCTCAGTAAAACCGTAGCATTTTTCTATCATGACGTTATCACAGGAGTCCTCACTGTGTCTAAGTCAAAATGTAATCTATGTTTAGTGCTCTGGAAATTTTCCTCAAAAATGATTCATTTTTGGCCATTGAGTTCCCCTTTCTGCAGAGTTCTTAACTAACGTCTCACTCGGACTTCTCTGATTTTGGTCCTAAAGAATTGCCTCTGCCTCGCTTTATGATGTCAAAGAACGATGGGGAAGTGCGATTTGGGAACCTGGCTGAGCTGCATGGAACCAAGGCTCAGATTCCATATTTAACCACAGAAAAAAATTCCTTCAAAAGAACGGACGATGGGGATAAACAGGTAAACAGTCTAATCAGGCGTGACTATTTGATTTTTAGAACCCTGAAACCTCACATAGCAGTGGCCCATAGCTGCTGTCACGCTTCCAGCACATTCCACCATCTGGGACAGAATTACAGACTTGGAAGTAAGCCACTGAAGTCATCTTACAGTGAGGAAGAGAGGCTGATGCAAAGCCTACTTTATAGGAATTACCACGAGCCACCCACAGACTCTTTAGCACCAACTTTAATATAAAATAAGGTTACCCGATTTCACACACTTATTTGGTTTCTCTAGGTCAGTGGTTTTGAAATGTAACTTCCAGGAGTTTTTAATAGGTTTTCTTCCCCCCCTACCCCCACCTCCCTAAAACAAAAAGTCTTGGGAAAAGGTTTCTCTGGTTAAATATGTTTACAGAATGCTTCTTCATAACCCATTCTTGGGAGAAAGATTAAATCCCCAGTCTTGGAGATTCATAGTACACATTAGTGCACTAAAGGCCCTGAAAAGTCCTGCAAGAAAGAGACCTGGAGATCTGCACGTACCAGACTTCTTTTTACCAGAGAATCCTTTCCTGGAGGGCATGTTTGGAATACCATCTTGGGAAATGCTGCCATTACACAGTTAGCAGATTGGGAATAAGAATAGGGAGGATGAGCTTTTAAAAGTGGACCACTGACTGCAATAGGCAGATGGTGATTGGTAGAGACAAAAGTACAGAAGTCCTGAAGAGTATCGAGAAGAGGTGAAGCATCTTACACATTAGTAAATGCTGAGAGCATCAAGGCACAGCTTATACTTCTAATAACGATACTGAATCATGTGGGAAAGTCAGATTATATTTAACAGAATGTCTTCTATAATGCAAAGAAATTTGTGATATTTTAGGAAGACTTGAAATATTTGTAAAATGCAATGAAGATTAAAGGATTCATTTGCAGCTATCTGGAACACTAACGCCTACGGCTCACCCTGATGATGTTGAATATATGAGGTGTTGCTGCAGACGTTTTATATTTATAGTTAAGTGACGTGTAGCAGAGGAGCCCTCGTGGTGCAGTGGTTAAAGGCTGGGCTGCTAACCAAAAGGTTGGTGGTTCAAACCCACCGTCCCCTCCACAGGAGAAAGATGTGGCAGTCTGCTTCTGTAAAGATTACAGCCTTGGAAACTCTATGGGGCAGTTCTTCTCTGTCCTAGAGGGTGATTATGAGTCAGAGTCAACTTGATGCAACGGGTTTTGGTTTGAGGTGTAGCAAGTCCTGTTAAACAATTCCATGTACGATTGCTTTCATAATTCTGGCGTATTTTAAGTGAGTTCTTCAGGGATGTGGAAAAGGGGGCCTAGGAATTTCCAGTGAATATTCTTTGGCATGTTTTCCCACCTGTAGTTGGAGAGGAGCTAGGATCCACTGTCCAACGATGACTGATGTCCTGGGTGAGTGCCCGGCCCAGTCCCTGGCTGCATGAGTTGGGACCCACTGTTTCTCTGCAGGCTATGTTTATGCTAGGCAACCCCATCTGCGAGTGTGGGCTTAGGCTTCAAAGCAAACGTTATTTTCCTTTTTCTTGAAGAAGAGTATTTGATCAGTATCTTAGACTGGATATTTCTCTTTAGACTCAGGATACCTTTATAACTCTGTGTTGATAAAAAGTACTGTTTCCTTGTTACTTTGTTGGTTGGGTACTCCAAAGTCACCAGTCTACCGGTAGCATTTTAAAAAAAGGAGGAGGAAACCAAGTAGTAGAGTAAGGTTGCTTATATTGCCCAGGGTTCTACATCAAGTTCATGTTAGAATTGGGGTTCAAATTGTAGCTTATTAAGGCTTTATCCTAGTATTTAGGAGTAGGCTAGTTGAAGTAATTTACCCATGATGAATTGTTTTGCACAATTTCTCAGTATAAAAAAAGTTATCATTTTACTTGGACATAGTAAACTCCAAGAATATTTAGTATTAAACATTTTAAATAGTTTCTTTTTATAAATCCACATTTGCTGAAGGACTTGATAAGTATAACTCCAGGAAATAGGAATCTTTATTAATGAATAAAAATTGAATGTATCCACAAAGAGATCAGGATTGGGAGGTATGTATGTTAATTCATGTGATCAGTGCCTTTAATTTTCCAAAGGAAAATATTAATGGAATCACTAAAAGTGTTTCTGGCTTGGTTTAGTAATTTAGCAAACTGGATTCTCTGGGACACTTTAACTCCTCTGAAGCTGTGTGGGAACCACACTGCATTGTTTAGAACCCTTTCCCCCCTGCGTTAGAGCCGCTGGGTCACCAGCAGTTAGAGTGGCATTATCCTTCATAACTGCCGCTCAGCCCGCCTGGCTTCTAGTGTCGCTGCTGAACTCTGCTCTTGTTCTTTGCAGCAGGAAACACAGTCTCCCACAGTGTCACCCCTCGCCTCCCCTCCTTCTTCCCCGCCTCATTACCAGAGGGTGCCCTTGAGCCATGGCTACAGCAAGCTGCGGAGCAGCACAGAAGAGATGCATCCAGGTAAGAGACGATCTGGGGCCAGATGTCCCAGGCAGTATTCTGGCTACTTCTTAATCTACCCGGCAGCTACACCACCAGCTGCTGACTCTCTTGATTTAATTACCCCTGTCTTTGGAAACATAGCTCAATTTAATTTCATATTCTCAAGCAGGGATTTTTTAAAAAATTAATTTTAGCAGTGCTTTGTCTCCTGTTCTATAAACTAGTTCATCTTTAGACTTGTGAACAACTATTTAGATGATTAATTCTTCATCTACAGATCTCATTAAACAGGAACACAGCATATTAAGGGTTTGTATTTTTTCCTTGGAATTGTTATTCATTTCTGCAAACATGCCAAACACACTTAAATGCTTTTGTGAAACTTCTTAAAAATATAGCTGTGCAAACCTTGGTGGGGGGTGGGCAGTGAGTATATGTCAATGGAGGAGGAACAACTCAGAAAAGAAGGGTGAGCATGGTTGCACAACTAGAAGAATGTAACCACTGTCACTGAAATGTACATGTAGAAACTTAAATTGGTGTATGTTTTGCTATGTATATTCTCAACAACAACAACAAAAATATAAAATAAATTATTTAAAAAATATATATAGCTGCACAAAAGCCAAAGACTGTATACAGCCGTTAAAGACTGGTCTCATACATGAAAATATTTAGCCCTTGGGGTTTGGAATAAGAATAAGGGAAACACTAGGGAAGCATTTGGCTGTGAAATGTGTCCAGTGCACAGTGGCAGGGTTGCCTGCTCACTCACAGCTCTGCCATGTCCCTGGTAAAGTACGCTAGTTGGTTCTGAGGATGACTTGCAGAGTTGGCGGCCCAGGCTGCAATGCTTAAAGCTCCATAAATTCACTGCAGCACCTTGTCCTCCTGAGGCTCAGGCACCCAGTTTAAAATATGACCAATTAAAGGTATTCCAGAATTGGATATCCATGACACCCTCCCCCACCTTTATTTTGTGAGCTGTGGTTGAAAATGACCCAGTTTCTGCAGTTCTTTGCTGCATTAAAAATACTGGTGACTACCAGAAGGACACAGAAATAAAAATGTGTGCTAGGCTGAACTTAAGAGAGGCTATAATCTTGTAGAGAAGGAAGTGTGGTATAATGGAAATACCTTTTGATTGGGATCAGAAGGTGTGGATTTATGGGACACCACCTATGTGACCTTGGGCAAGCTGTTTCACTTCTCTGACCCAGAATATCCCCTCCTCTTTTTTTTTTTTTTTTTAATATTTTATTGTGTTTTCAGTGAAAGTTTACACGGCAAGTTAGGTTCCCATTTAACAATTACTATACATATCGTTCAGAGACATTGGTTACATTTTTCACAATGTGTCAACCTTCTCATCAATTCCCTTCTGGATGATTCACTTCCAGTAATCTTGTTTCCCTGTCCCCCTACCCTTTCATCTCTACTTTAGAGTAATTGTTGACCATTTGGTCTTATATAGATGATTTTTTAAAGGTGTGCAGTTCTCACTGGTAATATTCTTTGTTTTATGAGCCAATCTGTTATTTAGCTAAAAGGTGCCCCCAGGGGGGTAGTTTCTGTTCAAGGTTTATGGAATATCTCGGGGTCATAGTCCTCTATTCTTAACCAGTCCAGTAAGTTTGGACTTTTTAAGAATTTGAGTTCTGCTCCACATTTTTCTCCCCTTGTATCAGGATCCATCTATTGTAGCCCAGATCTGAATGGTCGTTAGTGATAAGTGGGCACTATCTAGTTCTTCTGGTCTCAGGGTAGATGAGGCTGTGGTTCCTGTAATCTATTTGTCCTGTAGACTAGTTTCTTCTCTGAGTCTTTGGTTTCCTTCTTTCTCTATTGCTCCAGACGAGATGAGACTGATTGTTGTATCTTAGCACCTTGTTTTTTTTTTTTTTAGTTAACATTTTTTGGAAATTGCTTCATAGTACCTCATTCTTTTTTTGGTAAATTTAGTTATTTTATTATTGTTGTTGTTGAGAATATACACAGCAAAACATACACCAGGTTCAACAGTTTCTACATGTACAATTCAGTGACATTGATTACATTCTTTGAGTTGTACAACCATTCTCACCCTTCTTTTCTGAGTTGTTCCTCCCCCATTAACATAAACTCACTGCCCCCTGAGATTCCTATCTAATCTTTCCGGTTGCTCTTGTCATTTTGATCCTGTATAGATAGTTCTTAAAAGAGCACAGTGCTCAAGGCAGACATTCTTTACTAGTTAAGCTAAATTATTGTTTGGTTTTTAAGAAGACTTCAGGGGCTGTATTGGTTTAAGATTTAAAGATTACCTCAGAGCAATAGTTTCAGGAGTTTATCCAGCCTCTATGGCTCCAGAAAGTCTGGATTCCTGAGAACTTGAAATTCTGTTCTGCATTTTCAATGTCCACTCCTCTTTTAAAGTGGGGGCAATAGTATTCTGGAAGGGTGTTCTGAGGATTAAGTGAGAATAAGAGTATAAAATCTGTTGGAAATCAAGTCCTATGCAAATGCAAGATGATGCTGTTAATAGATACTGTCATGGATTGAATTGTGTCCCCCTAAAACATATGTCGACTTGTCTAGGCCATGATTCCCAGTATTGTGTGGTTGTCCTCCATTTTGTGATCTAATTATCCTCCATTTTGTGATGTGTTATAAATCCTAGCCTCTCTGCCTGTGGTTATGGTCCCATTTGGGAGGGAGCTGTCTTTTATGTAAATGAGACAGGATTAGGTCATGTTAATGAGGACTAAGGTGGGATGAAACACCCTTACTCAGGTCACAGCCCTGATCTGATATAAGGGGAGTTTCCCAGGGGTGTGGCCTGCATCACCTTTTATCTAATAAGAGATAAAAGGAGAGAGAAGCCAGCAGAGAAAGAGGGACCTGACTACCACCAAGAAAGAAGAGCAGGGAATGGAGCGTGTCCTCTGGACCCAGGGTCCCTGTGCTGAGAACCTCCTAGACCCAGGGGAAGATTGATGCCAAGGCACATGTAGATCTCCAAGGAATGCCAGGCCCACAGTTGTTCAAAGGAGACAAGGACTGTCCCCCAGAGTCAACAGAGAGAGATAGCTTTCCCATATAACTAGCACCCTGAATTCAGGCTTCTAGCCTCCTAAACTGTGAGAGAATAAATTTCTGTTTGTTAAAGGCATCCACTTGTGGTATTTCTGTAATAGCAGCACTAGATAACCAAGACAGAGAGTAACCAAAAATCACTCTCCTGCAACTTGAAAGTCACAATGGTATTTGAAACTTAACTGGGTCAAGAATTCTTCATTTTCCTCTCATAGTTATCCCTGGCTGATATTCCTATTTTTAGAATTCTAGTGGAGTTTTTTGGATTTCTAATCTTATTTGGGCTTGGAAGTTGGAGTCCTATGCCTAACATGCTGCCTGGTTTTTTTTTTTTTTTTTTAATTCACAGGTGAGGCATTTTTTGCTCCACTGTGACAGCCTAGCCCTAAGCTTTACCCTATCTTTTTTGATATTCCTTAAACATTTGTCTGTACTCGCTTGCTCAACTTAATGCCCCATTCTCTCCTTATCCCACTCCAAATTGGGCTGCTATCCCCCAGTGGCCAGGAAATAGCATACTTCTCTCCATCTTTCTTGACTCTTATTAGCCTTTGTCAAGGTTGGCCATGCCTTCATTCTTTTTCATACTTTAATTTTAATGAGATAAAACTTAAATGTATGGTGAAATGCACACATTTTAAATTTTCAATTTGAGTTTTACATGGATACTCCCATGTAGCCACCAGCCCAATCAAGAGTAGACATATCTACTGCCCCAGAGAGGCTCACCTCCTGCACCATGCAAGCACTGTTATGATTTTTATTACCATAGATTAGTTGGGCCTCTTCTAGAACATCACATCAATGGAATCTTACACAATGGCTGTACTCTTTATGTGTCTGCCTCCTTTCCCTCAGCATAATGTTTGAAATTCATCCATATTGTTGAGTATGTGAATCATTTGCTCCTTTTTATTGCTCAGTGGTTTTCCATTGTATAAATGGACTACAATTTGGTGATTCATTCTCTTGTCGATGGACGTCTGGTGGGTTTTTCCCAGATGTTAGGAGTAAGGATGCTAGGAACATTCATCTGCATGTCTTTTTGTGACATATGCTGTCATTTCCCTGGTACCTAGTGTGGAATTTTTAGGTCTTAGAGTAGGTATATAAGAAACTGCCAAAGAATTTGACAACGTGGCTGTCCACCCCACTGGCAATGTATGAGAGTTCACCTATTCTTGCCAGCATTTGGTGCTCTTCATGGTTTTTTTGTTTTTTTCTTCCTGTTTTTAACTTTAGCCATTTTATTAGGTGTAAAGTGACCTCTTACTGTTGTTACTCCTTCATTCTTGAAACATTGTTTTCTAGGCTCTGTCACCCCTTCCTGGGTTTTTTCCCACATAAGGATCCTTTTAACTTGACGAGTTGCTCTTCCAGAGGGTTCTCCTTCGTGCAGCATACCTGTAGGGAGGAGTCAGCATGAACAGTCTCCTGTTTCTCAAGGACTTGAGTTTTCTGGGTCCAGCCATTGGTTAGGAGGCTATTAGGTCCCTGTAGCTGGGAGCAAGGCCATTCACAAAGCAAGGTTTATTGACTTCTCCATCTGTCTAAATCAAAGGAAGGGAAGGTTTTTCTATCTGCAACTTGAGTCCACCTTGTGATTCTTGCTTCTAATTGATGCTGTTCACTTTGAAGCCTGTTCATTCCTATTTTTATAATGTCCGTGAATTTTGCCCAAAGGATTTTCTTCAGCTAGCTATCTGCTTTTTTTTTTTTCTGTCATACATCTTTAGGTTAAGAAGTTGGTTAAGTGCACATCTTCTTCTCTCTCTCCATATGTTTTCAGAACTCAGTTTTTCTTAAGGCTTCTGTGTCCCCCCCCCCCCCATCTATTTCTTAAGTCTTCTCTATTGCTTTCACCCTGCCATCAACCTCTGACAAACACAGGATCCTCTTTTCTATTTTCTGTACTCCATCTCCCTCTTGATCTACAGTAGCAT